CTGATTCGTTGATTTGCTCTAGAAAATAAAGTTGATAGAATGTTGTTATATAGTCTAGGCCTACTTACTCTGTATCTAGATTTTTGGCTGATTGATCTACATCCTTATTTGCCTCATTGTATTCCTCAGTCATGGCCCAGTGTATCAATATAAGGCAGAGAATAGAACACAAGGCGATTCGGCAAGTGGGCATTGCTTTTAAATATAATATTATTTTAGCTTCAAAGATGGAAAGTTAAGTATTTGTAGAAGTGGATATTGGCATGAGTGCTTGTGTAGTGATAATGATCACATAGACGAAAATGTTCAACTGCTAGAATATCTTGCTGATAGATAATTTTTAATCATACAATAGTAGTTGTTGATACAACAGAATCAACTTTTCATAGATTACAACGCAGAGAAAAGAAGAGCGGATTTTCTAAGTTAACTTTTACAGTGGTATGACAACTGTAGATTGAAACGCTTGTAAGAGTTGATGCAGCTTCACTAAACATGCGCCTTTTATACTTCCTATCCATCCGCTCGCTATTTTTGCAGATAACATAAAAATGAGAAATCACATTGCAATCAAGCAAAGTATGTTCTCACAATCATGCTGATAACGATAACGAAAAAGCGATTGAGTGGCTAAATAGATATCGCGAAGCTACAGCCAGCATGAAGAAGATTTTTAGCTTTGATTATCAGTGTGTATACAGGCACAATGCAAGGGATAAAAAAGTACAAATAGAACTTTAGCTAATTGTAGGCTCTACCTTAAAAGTTGATATAAAGGAAGGATCTGCTTTCAAAATACTGCCTAAAATCAACCTCAGACATGAATACTTGAGTAGTTTAATCCTCCTTAACTCACTTTCGGCGCATTTAATGCTTATGAACATATATAAGATTGAGTTATTCTACTCATTTCATGCAATTACAACGCTTACACAGGATCTGTTGGTTATGCTAGATCTCTCTCTGTGTTGTAATTGTAAACTGCATGTCAACTTTTTCAGGTTATTTACTTAATAGAAAAACAACATGCTCTCGTACTCTCGAAATCTCGCGTGTTATTTACAAAGTGAGAGTACGTGATGAATATAAAAGAGTGATCTTTTCCATGGTATTATAATCTGAGGTTCCACAGCTACTACCTCAACTGAGAACTGACTCAGAATATCAAAAGGAGTTTCGATGT